TTACCATTTAAAGGAGCAGTGATGCCACAGAATGGCATTTTGACAGATGCCGGCAACTTACAAACAACTGTTTACAGTTTTAACAGGTGAGCCATGATTGGGCAGAGTCATCATGCTTTTGCCCAATCATGGCTCTCACAGTTCTCTGTCCCCTGATTGGGCAAAGTCTTGCACCTGACCTGTGGTCAGGTGCAAGGCTTTAGCCAATTAGGGCTTCAAAAGGTGGACACACGAACTAGCGATGTTCGAGTTGAGCTCACGTTCGGTTCAAACATCGGGCCTATATATGATCAGCCAGCATCAGCACGCTGCAATTGCAGTAACCCCCATAATATGGACAGAGAGAGTTCAGTAGCATCAGCCAGCTTGCTGCAATTGACATAACCCCCATAATATGGACGGCAGAGTTCAGTATGATCAGCCAGCATGCTGCAATTGAAGTAACCCCCATAATATGGATGGATAGAGTTCAGTATGATCAGCCAACACGCTTCAAATGTAGTCACCCCATAATATGGACAGGAAGAGTTCAGTATGATCAGCCAGCATGCTGCAATTTAAGTCACCCCCATAATATGGACAGAGAGAGTTCAGTATGATCAGCCAGCACGCTGCAATTGAAGTAACCGCTATAATATGGGCGGGCAGAGTTCAGTATGATCCGCCAGCACGCTGCAATTGAAGTAACCCCCAGAATATGGACGTGCAGAGTTCAGTATGATCAGCTGCCAAGTTTCAATTGAAGTAACCCCCATAATATGTATGGGCAAAGTTCAGTATGATCAGTCCACACACTTCAAATGAAGTCACCCCTATAATATGGACAGGCAGAGATCAGTATGATTAGCCAGCATGCTGCAATTGAAGTCACCCCCATAATATGGACAGGAAGAGTTCAGTATGATCAGCCAGCAAACTTCAATTGAAGTCAGCCCCATAATATGGACAGGAAGAGTTCAGTATGATCAGCCAGCAAACTTCAATTGAAGTCAGCCCCATAATATGGACAGGAAGAGTTCAGTATGATCAGTCAGCACGCTTCAATTGAAGTCAGCCCCATAATATGGACAGGAAGAGTTCAGTATGATCAGTCAGCACGCTTCAATTGAAGTCAGCCCCATAATATGGACAGGAAGGGTTCAGTATGATCAGTCAGCACGCTTCAAATGAAGTCACCCCTATAATATGGACAGGAAGAGTTCAGTATGATCAGCCAGCACACTACAAGTGATGTCAACCCATAATATGGACTGGCAGAGTTCAGTATGATCATCCAGCTCACTTTAATTAAAGTCACCTCAATAATATGGAGGGGCAGAGTTCAGTATAATCAGACAGCACACTTTAATTGAAGTCACCCACATAATATGGATAGACAGAGTTCAGCATGATCAGCTAGTACGCTTCGGTAGAAGTCACCCCCATAAATTGAACATGCAGAGTTCACTATGATCAGCCAGCTCACTTCAAATGAAGTCACCCAACAATATGGAACAGCAGAGCTCAGCATGATCAGTCAGCACACTTCAAATGAAAACACCCCCACAATATGGACGGGCAGAGTTCAGTATGATCAGCCAGCACACTTCAAATGAAAACACCCCATAATATGGATGGGTAGAGTTCAGTATGATCAGCCAACACGCTGCAATTGAAGTCACCCCCATAATATGGACAGGAAGGGTTCACGGCTATGTGCCGAGTCACTTTAATTTTTACACACGGGGCTTGATAGTTTCAAAGAGTACCTTGTTTCATCATAGAGTGTTGATCATTTTTAGGTAGCTGCAGTTCTCCTGAACTACACGTCCCAGAGATTTCTATCTCTCAGATCTTTTACTTTTTATACCGACTTTTTTATACCTTCACGTTCACTTGCTCCTCACAGCTTGCTAACCAATAGTGTTGCTTCTGTGCAGCAGAATGAAGCAACAACCTGTGCACAAAGTCTGAGATGAAACCATTAGACTGACCCCCATCATCAGGTTGAAAAGCTTCTGCTGGTGTCACAGCACCTGCCGATGACATAGTTTACAGCGCATCTAGATGGAATGGGGGTGCCTCTAAATTTGATTGAAAGATGTGGGCAGAGAGAGGGGAGGGGTGTACAGTGCCCTCAGACATCAATCGGCAGAGAGAGGGGAGGGATGGGGATGTAGGGTGCCCAGACATCTATCGGTAGAGAGCAGGAAGGAATGGGGGTGTACTGGGCCCCCACACAACTATTAGAGCAGAGAAAGGGGCGAGGTAAGGGTTGTACAGTGCCCCCAGACATCTATCAGCGCAAAAAGGGGGCGGATGGGGATGTAGGGTGCCCACACACATATATCAGCAGAGAGAGAGGAGGGATTGAGGTGTAGGGTGCCCCCAGATGTCTATTGGCAGAGAGAGGGGAGGAATGGGGATGTATGGTGTCCCTAGACATATATCAGCAGAGAAAGGGGAGTGATTGGTGTGTAGGGTGCCCCCAGAAATCTATCGGCAAAGAGAGGGGAGGGATTGGGGTTTAGGGTGCCCCCATAAATCTATCGGCAAAGAGAGGGGAGGGATTGGTGTTTAGTGTGCCCCCAGACATCTATCGGCAGAGAGAGGAGAGGGATGAGTGAATAGGTTGCCTTCAGGCAGCTAGTCTTCATTTTCTTGGTTAGTGTCTACAGCAAGCAGCCAGTAAAGTAAGAAATCTAATTCTTGCTATGGGTTGGGGGCTATGGAGAGAGGGAAGCCAGACTATCGGCTCGGGCCCCCCTGCTGACTTGATAGGGCCCGGTCCAAGAGTGTTGGCTGTACCCCCCTGACAGCAGCCCTGGCCCTAGAGTATTCCACTCCTGAAGTTATCAGAGAACGTTTATCAGTTCTGTCACAACAAATCAGATTTACTAGAACAGTTCAACTTTATTCATAAATTCCTTTAATAAATCCTCCCCCAGACCTCTTCTTTATTACGTATCTGTATGAAGTGAGAATATGTCTCATGTTAAATATGTGGTAGACTTGCGCAAATCTGTCTCTGTTCGCTGCCTATAATTCCTGGCTCAGGGTCACACATACACAGAAAAACTGTTGCAATAATTTACACACTCACACAATGCATGCACGCTAATACATTCCATGATGGCGTGGACGCTGGTGTCCATTCTGTGCCAACGGTAATAGGGAGGTGTCTCGTGTTGTACTTTTTTTTACAAACACATGTGCAATTCCAAAATGTCAAATTAACAATTCATTCACATGATGCAGTGACCACTGCCACATCAGGTAACTTTCAGTGCGTTTTAAAAAAATGCAAAAGGTCCACATTTTCCCGTAATGCACTGCAACCCACCTGGTGTCAGCATTACAGTGTGAACAGGGAACATAGGAGACAATTGTTTTCCATGTGACCTTGCAATGACTGGGGTTGATCCGGTGTGGAAAAATGCCACAGCATCATAGGTTCGTACCCTAAATGGGAGGCAGCTGGAATTACGGATAATTTGCATGATAAATGTCTTCCTCGCTATAGCTGTATAGGGATAAACCTATAGATTATCTGCAGATTTTATATGGTCAGATGGAAAAAGTGCAACAGATTCCTCCATCTACACTAAACTGTATGGATAGAGGAATCTCCCGCTGGGCCATGCTTCAGTATCTAGCTCCGCTGGCTGTCAAAATACCTGAACAATCTGATTGGATGCAGGCATTGTTTAGATATTTTGAGAGCCAGCGGGACCCACTAGCAAGATACTGAAGCTTGGCCAGTGGGAGATTCCTCCATCCACACAGTGTAGCGTAGATGGAAGAATCTGTTGCACTTTTTCCATCTGACCATAGAAAATCTGCAGATAATCTATAGGTGTATGGCCAGCTTTACTCTCTGATCAGTCACTTGGCATCCTAACAAACCTTTCCATAGAACTTACTGACTGAGCTCAGGTGACTGTAATCAGAACATTTGGAATGGGTCATGTTGGAGGGTCTGAAACACATCATTTCATTTAACCCTCTGCACAATGCAATACACTGAGTGGTCGTCCCTGTCTAGCAAAAATAATGCAGAAATTGAAATAAAAAGTCTATGCTCTGATCAAAATAGCATATATGGACTGGTCGAAGAAGGGTTTATATATAATACCATTGGCTGGCCTAAAAAGATATTGTGCTGTGTAGAAACTAAGAATGATTGTTTCTAATGTAGATCTAGCTACAAATGTTTGAGTGCATGACAAGTTAGTTAACAAATTGTTAGTTAACAATTGAGTTAACAAATAGTTAATTGCAAGTAGGCGGTGTATTGAGGGGGGTCACACCCCTTTATCACCACCTGTATATACTGTTTGGATCTGTGCACACATTCTACTCTTCATTGTCCTGTGCAGGTGAGTAGCTAGGCTTGATAGAGGGTTGTAAAATGTGGTAATTTAAAGTATAGGGTGCCTTTAAGGTGTTTTTCTGTGTGTAGAATTGAGTTCTGAAGGCTTGATGACCTGTAGAAATCAATTGTTGTTTTACCTTTGTTGTCAATAGTTAAGATGCTCTATGTATGTTACACAAACCTTTGAAAATTGGGTTTATGTAAAGGATGTGCTTAAATAGGTATGTACTTGCATGTGGTTTTGTTAACTTTTACATGGATCCTTTTTTTTTCTTAGTGTGTTTTAAAACCCAGAAAGAGAACTTGTTTATTTCATCTTACCAGTCACTAGATGAGGTGACTGCATTAGTCTTCTCTTTCAGGCTATCTTCACTTCTCATGTTGACCCATTCATTATAGAAAAGATGGAGTTACAGAAACATTTTTTTTATTCTGGTATTACTTTAATAGAATTCTAAGATCAAAATGGTGCCTCCTGACTTGCATGTCATTTTGGCAGTATAGTCCACATCCAGATGCATGTCTCTTCTGTCAAGTAAAGTTTCTTGGGTATAGTTTTTTTGCAAAAAAAAAATGTAGCTCCAATATTGGATGTAACTGAAAAAGCTTTTTTTCTTTCAAGGCTGCTGCCTCCTCACCGCAAGCCATGGGGATGTACAAACTGAAAGTAGCAACTGGGTTAGACCTTGCTGCTGGTACCTGTAATAATCTCTTTATTATTCTTGTGGGGGTGCATGGAGAAAGTGCGACACACCAAATGCCCCGTTGCTGGAATCACTTCTTGCCTGGATCTGTAAGTATCTTAGTGCTGACATTTGGTAGCTTGTTACAATTGTCAATTTCTGGTTAGAAAGACTGGGTGGCTCTTGGGAAGGTCAGGTTAAAAAGCTAAGCTTCACTCTTGCACTGCACAGGAGGTGGAACGCAGGAATAACTATGGAGCTTGGTATGGCTCTTAATTTGTATCTTTCTAATAGTAACTTGTTATAGCTGTACATGGAGCCAAAGAGCTGGCAGGTAAAGGGCCTACAAACTGTCTATGACTAATGCTTAGGGTAGCTATTTGTGAGTGAATATCCCTTGATCAAGGAGGTATACACCTGTCTTGTCTCTGGAGTACTGAGAGCTGGTGCAATGCAAGGCTGATCTGACAATAGTAGCCTGATGCACCCCGTCGGCCACTAAATAGGGAAACTATACTCTCTTCCAATTTGCAGCCTTTACAAGTTGAGATATTGTACAACCACTGCCATACACAAGTCTGAACCGAGCATGGCGTCACAAGGACGTGGCGATACCACTCTCGGCCTGACCCTGCACAGAGCTTTCCCTGCTCGTGGGACAGACACACAGGCCTCCAGACTGAGAGCAATTGTCACCAGGGTTGGTTTAACAATGCAGTTGACCCTTTACCCCAAAAACTGTTTGGTTTTTTTATGGCAGCGCAGACTGTGCCCAGCAAGTGCTGTGAGTATGTAAACACTTAAACAATGCCTATGATACCGCTGTCCTCTCAGACAGGAACATGACAGGTTTCCGTTTATAGTAGCTCTCTTCACAGAGGCAAGAATACTTTTAAAGGAAAACTAGGAGTGATTTTTCACTCACCTCATAGTTCTAGCCGACCTGTGACAATTTTTGGTAGCTTGTTACAATTGTCAATTTCTGGTTAGAAAGACTGGGTGGCTCTTGGGACGGTCAGGTTAAAAAGCTAAGCTTCACTCTTGCACTGCACAGGAGGTGGAACGCAGGAATAACTATGGAGCTTGGTATGGCTCTTAATTTTTATCTTTCTAATAGTAACTTGTTATAGCTGTACATGGAGCCAAAGAGCTGGCAGGTAAAGGGCCTACAAACTGTCTATGACTAATGCTTAGGGTAGCTATTTGTGAGTGAATATCCCTTGATCAAGGAGGTATACACCTGTCTTGTCTCTGGAGTACTGAGAGCTGGTGCAATGCAAGGCTGATCTGACAATAGTAGCCTGATGCACCCCGTCGGCCACTAAATAGGGAAACTATACTCTCTTCCAATTTGAAACCTTTACAAGTTGAGATATTGTACAACCACTGCCATACACAAGTCTGTACCGAGCATGGCGATACCACTCTTGGCCTGACCCTGCACCGAGCTTTCCCTGCTCGTGGGACAGACACACAGGCCAGCAGACTGAGAGCAATTGTCACCAGGGTTGGTTTAACAATGCAGTTGACCCTTTACCCCAAAAACCGTTTGGGTTTTTTTTTATGGCAGCGTAGACTGTGCCCAGTAAGTGCTGTGAGTATGTAAACACTTAAACAATGCCTATGATACCGCTGTCCTCTCAGACAGGAACATGACAGGTTTCCGTTTACAGTAGCTCTCTTCACAGAGGCAAGAATACTTTTAAAGGAAAACTAAGAGTGCTTTTCACTCACCTCATAGTTCTAGCGGACCTGTGACAATGAGACTGTCACAGGTCGGCTCAGTAGATTGGGAAGTGAGTGAACACATACCGGCGTTCACTCCTCGATCGATCCTGTGACAGGGGAGTGACTGGATTCCCCCCTCTCCGATCCTCCAGTGTCTTAGGGTGATGGGAGGACGCTAGTTTGTGTCCTCCTGTTACCCTAAGGAGAACTATGGGGAAAAGCCCTAACCCCATAGTTCTTAAGTTCGTATTTGGAGCGTAGAGATGAGCGTAACGATTTTTAAGATCGTCCTTTAACAACTTCAAGACCAGGTGTTTAGACCCCCTTCCTGGCTAGCTTTTGTCAGCCCTTTAGAGACTGTCATGGTCCAGCCCCTAGGGCAAGGCAGGGGATGGAAAGCTGGAGGAGGATGAACCTTTATTACACTATCAATGTCCAATTCCAAATTATAAAATGGTGCTGATATTGTACTCGGGTTTATGACTTTCGGGTGAATGCTGGGTCATTACCTCTACCAGACGTGCTTGTGTTTTTATATACTTGTCCACTGGTGATGAGTGCCTGGTGACATACATTTTTAATTAGTGACGGCAATAAAGGGATTAGAGGTGATTTGGGACTTTCAATTGTTGTGGGGGGTGGGGGAGGGCAATAATGATCACAGGCCAGATAAGCAGATCTCTGTTCTGTGGAAGGCCTGGCAAATCAATGCTTGCATTTGCTCTAAACTGGGGGACAAGAGAAATGTTTTTGATATTGAGACTCAAACCCCATTATCGGCACACTTGGGAGGCTGTATAGGGCAATTGTTAAAAGCAATCTGTGTTGCTACTACCTGTAAAAACACTCCTATGTTTGGCATCCTGACTCTGATATGATGTGTTGGTGTGAATAGATCTGACAATTTTCTTTTCCAGGTGGCAGAGTTTGATGTAAATGTAACAAAAGATCTTGGAGAGCTCCTGCTTGTCCGGGTTTATGTGGAGTGCTACTTAAATTTCCCTCTAGATGCATGGTTCTGCCAATATGTCAATGTGACCTGTCCCAATGGTCAGCTTTACCAGTTCCCATTTTATCAGTGGATATCGCAATCTGTCCCTGTGGAAATCCCAGAGGGGAAAGGTAAGATTCAATAAATGGGAGGTTTCTGTTGACTTGTTCTGCATACATGTCTTGTGGTGATTAACACCTCCTGTAGGTTTTAACTGACAACCAAAAGAATCTCATGCAGTGGCTTTAGTGCCACTTTTTTTAAAAGATATAGGGACGCTAATATAGTGGTTCTGGATTCTTCCTCCCACCATAAAGTCTTAGTTTGTTTCATCCTTGTCCATTATGTTGCACTACAATGGAACCCATTGGCATTAGGATACTGTGGGTGGGAGGTGCGTTTGGGGCACCATTCAAATGAATGGCACCGCAACACTCCCATACCAGATTGCATGGCACAGTTTAATGCACTGTACTAGTGTGACGCGGCCCTGAACACTGACATGCATACACACACACACTTTTTTTTTTTTTCTTCCAAGTTCCACCCAGTGTTCCTACACTGGTCCAGTGAGAGCCTAGGGTCCACTGCTGTGACTGAGCTCCATCCATATGTGTATTACTTGTACACAGGGCAGCCATCAGGAATTTTGGGGCCCCTTACACAGCTTTAGGCCAGGTGTCTATGGTGGGCTCTGAAGGGGTCTCGGGGTGGGCTGGTAAAGGCTGCATCCCCCTCCCTCCCAGCTCCTCTTACCTGCACACCAGGCCTCCGCCGCCGGACTGGCCGCATGTGACGTAACTAACATGACCCCAGCTTGTCTCAAAGCTGCTGGAGCGGCAATGCTGGGCCCCTGCGCTGCCGCGAGTCTGTTTTTTTTGTTTTTGTTTACCAGAGGGGGATAAAATTGTGCAACCTGACAAACTTCTGTAACACATGGAAGAAATGAATTGTGTGGGCTTGTTGCATAAGTAATAGTGCTTGATACCAGTCAATGTCTGTCAGAGCTTTGATCTTGGGAAAGATCCCTGGCAGTCTATACCCAGCCTCTGTGTCTGATTGCAATGACGGTTCAGAGACTGTCTAGGGGCAGTAAAGCATTTACTTCTGTAGAGAGCCTGTGCATGATCCTTTTTCATGATGGGCAAAACTTTTAGATTGCCTGTCATGAAGAAATTACAATGCGTTGTCTAGCCTTTTCAGTGTACTGATTCAAGTAACTGCATGATTTGGTTCATGTTTGAAGCGTCACTGGCCCTTGTATTTTGTGTTTTTATTTGCAAAATTTCTATTAACTGCCTGAGTGAAATGCATTATGGATCAATTTTGTGTCGTACAATTTTGTTCTGTTTTCAGGGGTTGTAATAACTGAGAATACTTCCTCTATCCTCCTGAAACAAAGAAAAGTAGAACTGGAAATGAACAGGGAAACGCACAAGTGAGTGAGAAACTTCCATTTCATCTGTATTTCCAAGAACAAGTTGCTGTGTCCAGTTCGGTAATCTTATTTGGATTGCACACAACTAATGTGCAACCTTCTGCCAACTGCACTTGATTGTAGGTGTTACAGGCAGCACCTCAGTCTGCATAGATAATAAAACAAAATGCTCATGATTCAACTGTTAAAAATATTGATTTCTATGGGCTAACCGTTAAAGTATTGATACTTTGATGTAAGATTTCACTTGATGAACAAAACAAACTTCCGCCAGTGATGTATCAACAGAACTGGGGAAGAATCTGGTCCACTTAGTTCTTAATTGGATTAGTTGCTGCTTTTAGAGCCCATTCCGATCTATGCAAGCTCGCATGCAGAGCAATTGACTGCATTGCATTAATGTAGTCTGAATGGGCTGAAAATGTACCAAAAGGGAGAAATCTGGCACAATTTTTCTTTCCCAACACATCAGGGAGCTGTTGCACTTTTTTTTTTTTTCTACCATGTTAATGCAACCCATCACAATAAATATAACTTGATGGGCCTTCAGATTGGAAATCAGTCCTGATCATTCCAGCATATGCAGCACTTAGTTGGGTGGGTATCTTGGAGGGAAGTTAAAACCTTTTTTAATGTGTGCATCTTGGCTCTTTCCTAACTTTAGGAGCAGGAGGGTATGGGATGTTGACAGAAAGATGTGCTCACACAGATGGTAATTGGGGAAAACATTTATCGCTTCTACACCATCAAAACTAGGTAGCCCACTAATGGCCTAAGCTGCAGGGCTTTGTGATGCAGAACTTGTATGGATCATAACTGCTGCTATGGATCATAACTGCTGCTAATGTGCACATTGGTAGTTGTAGCTTTTAGCACTAATACTGGAAAGGCTTTTAATTGGCAGTGCCTATTGTGCACAAAACTAGCAAACTATGGATGTGTTTAATGTGTCAACCCTAAAAAAAAAACCTCACACTCCTTGTTCTCTTGTGGCAGTCACCCCCATTGGTAAAACTGAGGTTTAACTATCTTGTTGCACAGCCCCTGGATTTGCCCTTTATTCTCAGTACTATGCAACAACGTGTCCTTAAATGTGCTACTATGCTTGGTGACTAGTGTTTAAAAATCTGATTGCATGGCTTGCCCTCTTTAAAAAGTATCTGCTAAAGTAGAAACCTTGTATATAAATCTTGATTTTTGGCTGAACTGAATTGTTATAACTTTGTCCTGTCTTGTAGGTGGAAGGTTTATGCTGAAGGAATCCCTCACTGCATTGATGTAGCGAATGATGATGTGTTCAAGCTGTCGCCTAATGACCAGTTCTCCGTGCTAAAAGCAAGCAGCTTTGGCTACAACATTCTTTCCACGTATGTATCGCAGTTCTGCTGTGAGAATAGGCGTGTGTGTCCGTCCCCTAGCCCCCCTACTACAGTAAACTGTTTATCCAGTTTTCAACTAACAAAGCTCATCTAACCAGAACAAATATCCCCTGTGTAATCACTGTTCTGATCCGTGGCATGTATTATCCTGGAATATATCTTGTGCCTATGTATCTTTGTTTTTGACTACTGTACTGTCTTTTAGCATTCATATGAAGTCAATACAGTTTTGGTATGGCATTAGTTCTCATTTTATATAGTAACATTCAAGCAACCAGAAAACTTTATCTGCAATATACCAATCCCTGTGGATGTTGGCTAACAGGGAGTTTACTGTATTTGGTTAAATCAGCAGGCAGAAGGATATGTTGGCAACCTTAACTTTTTAATTTAGGTACAATTTGAAATGAGGCCTACAGCTTATCGAATGTTACTCTAGCTGGTCTGTAGTCCTAGATCTAGTATCTAGTTCTGACCTATCAGATAAAAGCTTTTTGTAGAGTAGATTACTGTGTGGCATTGGCTAGCGCTGACATGTTGCGCAGTTTAGGAGAGACAATAATATGGAATTGCTAATCCTGAGCTGCATGTTCTTCTTTTAGTGGCTTTGAAACCATGCTGAAAGGTTTTCTATTCAACAAGGGTTCATGGAATAGCCTAGAAGACATCAAACTGCTGACGTCTCTGCAACAATCACAGAATTCAGGTTTGTGGGATCTCTCCAATATTCTTTGAGGACTTGTTTGACCAAGGTTGTATTTGTATAAATGGGAACACCCAGATGCAAACTATGCATCTTTTTGCTGTTAAAGCATTTTTAAGTTATTTATTGGATTCTAGGAGCCTAGCACAGCCAGTCCTCTGTAACCAGTATGTAATTTCAGAGCTACTAAAGAAAATTGGCATGATTTCACTCTGTAGTGCACAAGTGACACTTTATAACTTGTGGCTGTCAGACCCAACGGATGTTGGGAGTAAATGGCTTCATGGAGAAATCTTGTTGAAGTGCATGGCTGTGACAAATGTATCATCTATACTTTTGGCATTTTCAATTCCTAAAGATTAAATGCCTAAAATGAAACTGATGTTTAAGGCCTTCCATTGTGTTTAAAATGTTTCCTTGTTCTCAAATATCTAAAACTGCATGCCATTGGGCTTCTGTGGCGTGATCTTGTGCCTAAAAGGTTTTTCATTTGTATCTACGCCGCACAAACTTTTTTAAACTGTCAATTCACCTATGCTGCAATATGTTCTAAATAACTTCCAAAAGTCATTATCTCCTGTTTAGGCATCGTGAGTGAGATATGGAAGGAGGACTCTTTCTTTGGTAGCCAATATCTGAATGGAATGAACCCAATATTAATCAAGAAATGCTTGAAAATCCCAGAGAACTTTTCTGTAGGTGATGAAATGGTGGCTTCATCTCTGGGGGCTTCCACAAATTTAGAGAAGGAACTTCAGGTAGGGGGTGTGTGGCCATCTGGCAATAATGGTAACCAACAAATGGTATTGAACTAGCTTGGTGGCTGGGTTTGTGCAAATGTATGTTTAATACTGTAATTTTGTGGTAGCATTTTGCTGATTTTAAACATGCACTGTATTGCAGAATGGACACATTTTCCTGGCAGACTATAAAATTCTTGAAAACATTCCTACGAACACCATTAATGATAAGCGGCAATACATCGCAGCCCCTATGTGTCTACTGTGGAAAAATCCTCAGGATCAGCTTGTTCCAATTGCCATCCAGGTAGTCTTTGTATCTTCTTGCTTTTTTAAAAGTTGTAGTTGGCGTATGACTTTTCTTGCAGCCTCTTAAAGTTTACACTATAGGTCCTATATACATTGGACATTGTCCCTGGTTAAGTAGTGGGTATTTCACCTAAGACTGGAAGTCTTGGCTTTAATCTGACAGTCTTGTATTAAGTGTATGTACAGTGACAAGGGCATTAACCCTTTCGCTGCCAAGGACGTACGGCATACGGAGGCTCCCGGCTGGCCAGCTCAGTATGCCGTACGGAACTGGCATTTACAGTTCTACTATAAGCTCCTGGTCGCTTTAGCGACCAGGAGCTTATAGTAGAACTGTTCCCCAGACTGTCCCCTTCAAATTTAATAGCTGTCATCAGTTGCTCACAAGCCGCTGATGACTGCTACCATCAAAAATACCGGGCAGCTGGCCGCAATTCAGGATGGCCGAGCGGTGTTCCGATCGGAGCCGCTGTCATCCTGTCAGTTTTTGGATGACAGCGGCTCTGTATCGTGGCCGAGCGGGGTTTTTTAAATATCATTGATATTTAACGATCCCTCAGTTTACAGCAAAACACAGAAGTGATTGTCTGATCACTCCGGTGTTTGTAAATAACTGGGGACACATAGTACTATGTGTCCCCAGTTATGAATGAACAGGCTGCGATTTACATCACAGCCTGTTCATTCAAGAATGTATGAATTGGGACTAGCACTCACTACAGAAGCTCCTCCCCATTCATAAACTTATTGTAAAAATATCTTAGTTTGTGAATGAGAAGCCTCTGTACTGAGTGCTTCCCATTCATTGA